ATGGGTAATACAAAAAGATGAAAAGCAGAAAATAATAATCATGTTTTCCTCATTTGTCCCTCTCTACGTTCATTTCTCTTATCTGATACTAGTGAAGAAAATAAACAGAATAATACATGGCTCCCGTTTCACTTCAATATCTAACAACTCTGATAATATATATAGATACGCATCATCTGATAATAATATGTTTCTAAATGCTCAAAGTAATCATTATCTTGAATTGGTCAAAACTCTAAAAGACTCCAAAACAAAACTATTGAACACTCTAATGTTTTAGCACATTCAATCACATATATTAAACATTAGCCCGTTCTATTAGTATTAATTATATTTTTCTCTCAAATGAGGCATACATACACACATACACACACACACACATATATATATATATATATATATATATAATATGGCCCTTTATAACCAAATATATCTTGGGATACTAAACCTAGTTAGAAACTTTTTTTTATTTTTTATTTAGTTTTACTTATATTAAAATAAACGGTTAAATGAGTACCCATTTATAATCGCGGGTAATTCCCATAACCTTCCATTTAAATTTCACAGGTAAACGATTACCCATAACCATAATCATCAAATTTAAATGGACGGATAACCACGATTACCCATAACCAATAGATATTTGCCCATCCCTACTTGTGCGGCCAAAACTTAAGAATCCACCGACCTCTTAACTTTCGATGCCGGTCGTGATGTGTGCTGCCCGCAAATTGGATAGGGCATTGAAAAGCGAGACTTTGTAAATGGTCCTTACAAAGAGAAACATTTATCTTGGATGTCACTGTAACAGTATCACTGCATACGAATTTCACGTGGCATTGGATGACAGGCTTAGTATACCACAGTCCCCGTGTGGAGAAGGTCTGGGCACCTCTCTCTCTCTCCCTCGCATCGGTCGTACTACCGAGGCAGAAGCGTACGCAAGCCTAGAAGCGCAGGCCTTCGCTTCTACTATGTCGAAATATAAACAAAACCATCTGAGAGAAGTCATGGCCTTAGATATTACGGGGCCAGCGTTTGCTTCTATATCAATAAAATGTTAGAGACCAACAATACAAGAAGAGATGGGGTGTGTGTAACGATGAAGGCATTACTCTACAACATTTCAAAAACAAATTGATTCAATATAGTTCACAACACATACAGATGTGAATAGCAGGTAGTTTTAAAGTTCAGCAATACCAGATCAGAAGCTTAACGACAGAAGAAACAATAGGCGTCAATTAGATAAAGTACCGGTACATAAAAATGCGGAAATCTCCAACTGCAGCTAGACGGCCTCTTTCAGGAGTCTCCTTGTGAGATCTATGGGAAGTCCCATCACACTATCGGTTGTCCCTACCTGCAAGAAGCACCAGCATTTCAAATATGAGGATGACTATCAAGACACCGCTCAACAAAACAGTATGTTCGTATCAACATGACTAGTCATTGAGTAAAGACCTAATAAGTGGATCAGAATCGATGAGCTTTCAGGATCCATTCAATAAAAGATCGTCGATGAAAAGGCAATCAATTAAACAGTTGAAACAGACACATGGTAACGTAAATATACTCCAGTATGCTTCCCTTGCCCCACATTTACCAAATGTTACAACTTTAGAACAGAGAGTAGAAAACCAACCACTTCTTTAACAAAAGGAAGTAATAGAGGATGTTCTGTTATGAGTCCCCCTGCTACTTCGAGCACTATCCCCTCCTCAATCTGACATGGACACAGCGGAAGGGGTTAAATTGTCATCATCCAATCAAGGAAATAAGTGAAACAACCAATTTGATACAAAACAACTCTTACCAGCTTCTCAATGACTTCATCTGGTATTTTATGGAAATAAACCTGCAAGGAACCCCAAATAGATATTATCCACAGATATGACCAGTCAATTCGTAGCATTCACCTAAAGAGCTGGGAAGTTATTCAATTTCATCTTTCAGAAGCTACAACAAGAAAAAGCAAAAGGTACCTCCGCTCGATCCCATTCTCCTTTACTGAATCCCGTTTTAAGGTTTGTAACATGTACAGATCCCACTGTTGCTGCATGCCCTCCAGAATAGTCTGCAATTCACGTTAGGAAAATTATCAGAGTCAAAAAGTAAAACATCAGGGACATGGAATAAATAACCATTAAACCAACCTTTCAAAAATTGCCGTGCTTCTTCCTTGCTGGATGGTTTTTCCCGAATCACACCTTCATAGACCACCACCTCCAGATCATTTTACAATAAGAGTTAGAAATAACAGATTTAATGTTCCCTGACTCATGAAAGGAAAATTCTAAATTCCTAGTTTTGCAAACAAGTCATATCACCATAGGCCATTTATGTTGAAGGACAAACAAGTGTACACAAGGCCTTGAGGGTAAAAAAAGTTATTGTACGGAAAAAGCTGATGTCTGGAGCATCTACGACATAAGGTATAACAGATACTCCATAAAGAATGAGGAGGAGAAAGAGCTAAAGCACACAATTCATGCATAAGAAATCAAAACATGTAATATGTAAACATGGGCCCAAAATGAAGTTCTGTGATTAACAATGTCGTAATATGACGCAACCTATATTATCTTCCTGAACAAGTTTCTCAGTCAATAGAATCTCATATAACTGACATCAAAACATTACTTAAACCTATACTTATTACTTTCTTCCTTACCCTGTCCAGAATATTGAGGAAGTGATAGGAGTATGGTAAAAATTCCATATACATTTTGGTGTTTTATCCACAACACACAACACACATATGACAAGAGTATAGAGACTATAAATATGGTATAAGATGTGATATATACTTGATCAGAAGTAATTAATAGCGTTGGTTCGGCATCCTTTATGTAGTCACCAACTGGGAGCCTTTGTGAAATGGCTTCTGCCTGAGAAGTTTCCATCAGCTCAGATAGGTAAGCAATTCTATTTCAACCGGAAACTAGTTGAGACAATGTCATTACATTATGCAGTAAACAAACAATTGCAACAAAAGGGAGCATTAACACGCACAATTTCAGACACTCATATGCAGAAAGAAACACCTACAGTTACGAGGATGAATTTAGTTGAGCATCAAAACTAATTAGTATCTTGCTTTAAATGCTTTTCTTCGCAACTACTATTGTACAATTTCGTAGTCAAAATTCCAAATTGAGCCTTAGAAGTCTAAAACTGTAAAACACGATTTTCCTCAATAAAAAAAAAACGGGGATGTCTCCTCCATAAACGGCACTAGGTGATACCAGACTTTGATGCCTTCAGTAGTTAAACAGAGTGATGATACCAAACACATACAATATATATAAAGAAATGACATACTGTGTCTGCCGCAATCACAATCGTGGGCTCAGCATCCTTTTCGTGATTATTGATACTTTGCAACTTTGATACGATAGCATCGGCCTGACACACAATTCACATTTGGCAAATGTGAGAGCTTAAAACCAAAACAACCATAAACTAAAAGACGCAAGTTCCAAAATTTAGCTGATTAGCATTTAGTGTTACATTCCCAATAGGAAAACAACAAAAAGGAGAAGAACACCAAACCTTTGCCTTGGCAAGAACCAAAACCAACTCCTCTGGTTTTTCCGTTCGGATGGATTTTTCGTCAATGTCTGCAGTCTAAAGTAAAACAAGAGTTTAATTTCTAAAAACCATCAGGGAAATTAGGTTTTATATATTTCAGAGAAACAATTGGTAGTACCATGACTGTGAATTCATATCCCATTTCAGCCAATATTTTTCGACGTGCTATCGAAGCCGATCCCAAGATTATCTGCAAAATCAACCATTAACATCATCTTTCTGGAGCAGCTTAGTTTCAGAGGAAAACGAGTACAATGTTTCACATTAGGCTAAAAACAACACAAATTCTCTGTTTGGCAGAACCAGCTGCAACCAAACAGAGCCCTAATATCCAGAACTACAACCTCCTCCTAACATTTTCAACCATTTTTAAAGCTTCAATTTGTACTGCAACTAACCACAAGGGGAACGACGACGTTTCGTATTTGAATTCGTCTCAACAGAAACGCATCGAATCGAAACCCTAGCTTTTAGTTCAAAACTTCGAGCTAAGCAATGGAAAAATAAGAATCTCAGTTGAAGACGAAGAGTGAGTCACGTACCTTGAAAGAAGATGAATCGGCTTCCATGGCTGAGTCAGCCGGCGAGTCAGTCTGAGACCTTGAAGATTGGAAGAAGCAGTTGTTGTGGCGGCGTTTGGCTCTTTTTTATTCACGCCGTTTACTCGTTTAGGCGCGTTTTTACTATTCCGTCTTTCCAAAGTACGACGATTCTGTATTGGTCGTTTTGGCGAATGGAGTTACCATTTCAGCCTTTTCAGGTCGTTTTTTTATACAAAGGGGCCCAAAACCCCAAAGCCCAAGCAGAATCGCTAAACAAAGAAAGATATCAACCCAAGGGGCTTACACAAACGGTCGGAGTTTTAGTAACTCCGGAAATATGAGGTCATTCTATTTGAATTCGGAATCTCGTCGGATCCTCATTGTGAGCATCTTGAAGATTCGTGAATCATGTTCGTTCATCATATATCGTATAATTAGAAATCATTTTAAATATTCTAAATATTTTTATTTAGAAATTATGTTTACATGATATACGATGAACATACATAATTTACGGATTACGGATTCATCCTCACCAAAAGAATCCGGAAAGAATCCTGTTGGGTTCTATTTAGGGGGCAGAACCTTTTTGTTCTATCTTTTCCTTTTTTTTTTTTTTTTTTTTAGTCTTGGTTAAAATGTAGCACAATCATTCAAACTCTTTATTTTTAATCTTGGATAAATTCTTAATGTTCAAATAAAATATAAACGATTCTAATTATCATGTACGTTGCATAATTAGTAGCAGAGCAGAAAGTGACTAGCACCTCCCAAATTATTAACTTGCAAAGGTTTTTCTTCCACTTAAACTATTTAAATAGAAAATAAATTCAATGTGGGGTCGACTAAGGAGGTTCCAAGACCTACCGATCAAAAACTTTAAAATGTAGGATACCTCGGAGCAAGCTAACAAATTCCTATTTTCTACCACTACGAGTGCATGGCACTCAACACTTTGAGAGCAACAGCCTCTTGTTCCGCCAAAGATATTGAGTCAGCAATGAACCCTAATTTATCCTTACTTTCTTTTATCTCACCATCATCATGATCACTGCCAAAATATATCTTTGACCTTTTGTGGGGTCGATTTAAGTATGCCTCTCCTTCTGAATCAGAAACATCCTCGTCCTTCTCGTCTGCGTTTCCGCTCTTCCACTTCATCTTATTCTTCAAGCGTTTTTCACGACGGCGATTGCGGTATTGAGCCTTGTCATCCTTGTCCTCCTTCTTCAGACCTTCCCTGAGCTTCTTATAATATTCGGTCTTCTTGCCTGCATAAAGAAGGAGACACATTTCCAGGCAACAGTTTTTTCAGAAGAAGCAAGGTAAAACACCGTGTTTTTCCAATAGATGATGTTACTTGGGCACACGAAACTGATGCACTTATCGACACAATCTCTACTGCATACCTTGAATTTGGTCAAGCGGAGCTCTGGCATTGTTGATATCAGCCAGCCTTGCTAGTGGCGGTAGTGAGTTGCCTTCGTCATCAAAGACAACTCTAGTTCCCACTGGTCTGTGGATATTGATTTTTAACTTCTTCTTCTTCTTCGAAACCCAAGTTGACAATGTAGAAGGCGACCTATGAGGAACGGGATTATCATATATGAGCTCAAAGTTTGGGTGACAATGGTAATGCATCCACAAATACTAAGGTTGATGAAATTTTTAAAGGGATCGTTTAATAACCATTTCGTGACAGTGGTAGCCCCTTTAAGCTTATAATCCGAGTTAAAACAAGTATAAAAACATAAAATGCAAGAAACTCACATAGTATGTTCGATTTTTCTTCCTTCCCAGTCTGCGGCATTTGCTGTATCATTTGTATGAAAAGGATCTTTCTCCCCATCTTCTTCACCAGAATCACTGATATCAAGCTCCTCTAGGAAGCAGCTCCAATTCATTGTCCTTGTCCAAATTTTCTGGTTCAACAATGGGAGATAGTTCGGACACTTTCTTAGAGGAATTATTGATTTCGTTGTATAGAAAACGCATTCTGGGTGGGAACGGTAGACCTATCGATTTGGAAAACTCATCAATTGGTAATTCTTTAACATCGAAAATCTCTTTGTCCTTCTGTTTTTTAACAGACTTTACATATGTGATAACGGCCCTATTAGCCACACCACGTAGTAGATCAGGGTCCTGGACTATCTTAGATGCCAACAATTTAGACAGTGATTGCACAAGGTCCTTGTTAGGCTGAGAAATCAGTAAAACAGCTAATTAGTTTAGCGTAGCTCACAAGCAATCGGAGATGGCGGGAACGATAATTAAAAAGATGTCAAATGATAGAAAATATAACCACCTTTTTTTCCCGAATGGGTATTTTTGCTGCTTGTAGTTTATCAAGCATTTTTTCTTCAGACGGCATCAGAAATAAAAGCGATCTCCCTACAGAATCAAAGCGAGCAGTTCGACCAACTCGGTGTATGTAAGATGCAACATCTTCTGGACAATCCACCTACACACGAGAAAAAGTATCAGCACTTAACGACGCTGTGACGAAATGAGTAACTGGTTGATTCGGGTCGAGAGAAAATGAAAAGCTCAGGGGATATATGATTAATAACAACAATCCTTTTTTTTTTTTTTTAATACATCGATATGTTTTTTCATCAAAGAGAGGGAGAGTTCAACTAAGCCACACCTGAACAACCCAGTCAACTGCCTGGTCGAAGTCAAGGCCTCTTGAAGCCACATCAGTCGAAAAAAGAACTATAGGGTTCTTACTAAACTGTGAGACTGTTTCCATTCTTTCCTCTTGCTTCCTCTTACCATGAATACGCTTCAGAGGTATTCCGGGTTGGAGTTTTGCAAATGCTTTGTATACAAATTCTACCTATTAAAACAAAAATTCGACAATCAAATTTAGTAAAAATATGGATCAAGCAACAGGTGTATTACGTGAAAAAATGGAGGTGAAATATTCACCCCGATGATCAGGCATGACATTGGAATCTGAGATACATTGAAATAAGTCAAAACAAAGTCGGCGCACCTGTTTTCTGGTTGATAGAAACACTAGAATCCTAGATTTTAAGTTACTTCTTATGAAGCCCCACAACATGTCTAGCTTTCGGTGAAGAGGAACGATGATATATGTTTGCTGCAAATTAGTAGGAGTGGCTGTCACAGACTTCTCATGCACACTGACGAACTCTGGATCTTTCAAACAGAGAGTTGCAAGATCCTTAACATCTTTTGGATGAGTTGCTGAAAAGAGAAAAATTTGCCTATCCTTAGGTAGATCTTTAATGATTAACTCCACTGCCGGCTTAAAACTTGCATCACTGAGCATACGATCTGCCTCATCAAGGACCAAAACCTGTTCCCTGGCCGTAAAAGTCCACCCAAATCAGCAGAAAAAATAGAAACGCAACTTATGTGACATGGATACATCGTTACTCTAGCATCCCGCACCAATGATACAATGTCAAGGTGACTGTGGACAATCTAATGCAAAGTGAGACCGATTTTAAGTTGATGATGTTGAGTAAGACACATTGAATTTCAGATGTTAAGTGAGACCGAAATCAAAATCATAATACTAATAGAAGATAAAATAAACCTGAAGCTGTGAACAGAAAAAATGTTCAGTCTCATTCATGTGCTGAAGAAGCCGGCCAGGCGTGCAAACCAATATGTTGAGCTTATTTGCACGCTCCTTCTCTTCTTTGACTCCTTTTCGACCCCCGATTAGAAGACCAGCACTAAAATCATGGTGCCTCCCAACCGAATTCAACACAAGAAAAGTTTGAATGGCTAATTCCCTTGTTGGAGATAGTACGATAACACCCACACCATCGTCACGACACCATCTCTCTCTATACAATTTTTCCAAAAGCTGAAAAGGGAAAGGCAAACTCACAACTTGAATATTTTTTTTTCTTTTTCACAGTTTCTAAGGTGCTCAATTTTCAACTAGAAGATGTGCTTCCAGCCTTCCACATGCAGTCGAATTCAAACTCCATATTTAGCTATTTAGCTAGATTAGTTTAAACTTTATATTATAATATCAAACTTTATATATAATTCACTTGCATAAACACACAAAAAAAAAAACCTAAACCCTAAAAAAACTTACCGGTATAACGAAAGCTAGGGTCTTCCCGGATCCAGTCTTGGAGGCACCGCGAACATCTCTGCCACATAGGGCATGGGGCAAAGCGGCCCTCTGAATATCGGTCATTACAACGTACTTGGATTGGCGTAAGGCGTCCTTAGTCTTCTTGGAGATGGGCAGCTGCTCGAACCTAGTGGCGCCGGCGTACCGCGAAAAGCGGTTGGGGTTGCCGACGCGACCGAGAGGGGCGTCTGAGGGCAAATCGGGAAGAGACATGGGGTTGGAGCCGCGTTCGGGTTGCTGGGATTCGATCCACGATTTCAGAAGCTCGATTTCTTGGAGCTCCTCCGAGAGTTTCTTTTTGATACGATATTTCTTTGATTTGAGTTTTCTCATTGTGGCTTTGGTTGTGTTTCAACTTTGGACTGTGGATGGATGAGGAGAGACAGGTTCTAGACGGAGTGGCAAGGTCTTGGAGAGAGAAGGTGAAGGTAGAGATTAGGGTTTATGTTTGATGAAGGTAAAAAGTAGGGTTTATGTTTGGGGAAATCGACGGCTAAGTTATTGGTTTGGGAAAGGTAATTAACTTAACATGTTTATGACGGAATACTGGTAACGTTTGAATTGCATCCCTAAATTATAATTATACATAACAATTAGTTCAAATTAGAATATCTTGCTGATTTAAAAAATTAATAATAATATAATGACTTTTTTTTCGATAAAATCTACAGTATGAATAACAAATGTGCGAGGGAATTCGACTTTTTACAAGAAGCGAACATCTTAGATATGCATTGCAATAATTAGTAAACCACGTGCCCAAAATTGCAAAAATTGATTCTATGTAGACTCCTAGAGAAGAACGTCACTTGAATTGTAGAGACGACAATCATTATCTGCTGGCCTTGAACTCTTGCAGTTCAGAAACTTCCATGCGAGTTTTATTATTTGGTTAACAAAATGAAGGAGATCGCATGGAGTCTCGTAAGTGTGATATACAAGTCAATTATTAACAATAATTTTGTTGGGGGTGATGACGACCAACCTTTCAAACTTGATGCCGATATGATCATGTCACTTCTTTCCGACATTTGAAAAGTACTGGTTTAATTCGATACTTCCACCTTGGACGGTTCTGAATGAACCTACTCAATGAAAAGCAACGATTCTATACTCATGTCATTACGCATGTCATTAACTTAAGGATTCTACATATTCGATCCAATTTAGCACATGTATTGTTTGTGTTAATTTTTTTTTTAATATAAACAATACTCCACTCTAAATTTAATCTCAACTTCGCTCAGAAAGAATTATATATAACGGAAAGAGGGATTCGAGTTTCGGTGTAGATAAAAGAGTCCATTATTTTAGCAAAGTTGGCTAATTCAAATCCGTGTTATTAAATAAAGGTTTATAAAATCATTATGATAATGATAAATAGTCTCTTGATTCTTTTCATTTATCCTTGACTCTCTTCATTTATCCGAGCCTATGCATTTTAGCTTTTCTGAATTTTTATGTGTTTCGCTTAATCTAATCTGTCTTTAAAGGTTAATTAAATGACGTGGCATGTTTTAAGTTGTTAGATTATTATAATGGACTATATAAATAAAAAAAGCAGAAAAGCTATAAATAATGTAGAGACTCATAATCCTTCGTTCATTGAGACAAACGAAGTGGCCTTTTTTTCTTTTTCTCAGTACATTTAAAGGAGCTGAAAGGAAAATACAATGACTTTTGGAAAACTAAAGGAAAAACGCAACATATTAGCTAATCACATTTGACTCTTGTTGTCCTATATATATATATATATATATATGTATATTGCTACTTGGACGGTTCTGAATTTTCTTTTATGTTGAAACTTAAGAATCTTTATTCCCATCTATGAACTGATCGATCTGGCTTGCTCTCCTTCATTAAATTCTTAGACTCTTCATCCTGCATGAGAACAACAATTAACATCATTTGCGGTAAGGGGGAATTAAAGCATGAAAAATTCATCCCATTGAATATATAAAAAGGCTTGTCCAGCTTGGGGTTATGTTATATCACATGTTTTATTCATTAACTTTTATTCTAAAAATCCTCGTCTGTGTTATAACAGGTGAGTTTGTTACGTCACATTTGGTGATTATGTCTATACATTTGCTTAGAAACTGAAAATAATGAATGTAGAATAGAATGAGTAAATTATTTTATCATTTCTTAATGCAACGATATATGAATAAACCATTCAACGCAATCAGTTATGTACCACATATATGTGAAAGGCTAAAACAATCATGTTATACTGGTAAATAATCTTGAAAATTTTTAAAAGCATTTTCCTTCGTATAAATGAATGCAGTTCAAGAAATTAAAAACATTATATTGAATCACCTTTCTTCTTCAATATCCCTGGAATAGGACTTAGTGCTTCCTCCACCAGATTTTCTATAATTAGGCAAAGGCACCTCACCAGCCTCAATCTTGCTTACATCTTCCACAAGCATCTGATAGTGCCTCTTCACTTCCTCCACTGATTTCCCACCAACAGCCCTCGCCAGATTGTGCCACCTGTCAGGCGTGTCCTTGTCGTAAACCGCCAGAGCATTCTCAAACAGCTTGTTTTGCCTTGCCGTCCACGATCCTGACGACTCCATTGATCGATGGAAACCGAGCTTCGCTAGCTACAACTGATAGAATGCTTGTTGGGAGGGGGCTGAAAATGCCAAATGGAAGTAGGGTTTATAATTATGTTGAGCAAAGAGAACGGCAGTGTTAGCTCCTTATATACTGGAGGGAGGAGAGAGAGAGATGGGTGTGTGTGTAGAGAGAGAGAGATAGGTAAGGTGGGGTCGAGTTGTATTTTGTTGCACAGCTGTTTCTTTACTTGCAAAACAATGGGGAGGAATTTGAACTTTGTAATAACCTACGTGGTTTTCTTTTTACTTTCCAGGTAATATTTCATGGGTTTGCGGATTTTAGGGCTTTAAACCCCCCAAGAAATTATACAGGCGGACTTTGTTTTACCCAATAAAAAAAGTGACATGATCGCCCTCATTCCAGTTCACTCTCCTTCACGTTCTTGCACTTTTCTTCTCGTAAGCTTCGTATATACACTGTCCGTTACTACATTCTAGTTGTAATGCTTCAAATGAATAATATTAATTAGGATTTAGAGAAATGCTATTCACACTTTTAATTTGTTCGTTATTTTGCATTTTTTTCCTGAGGGTTATTTTAAGGTAGTAAAATATTAATTTCTATCTATACAATGACAAATTGAAAGCATGAATAACCGTCGCCTAACTAGTTTAATGTTTAACTATGGGAGCATTTTGACTTATCACCCTCAAGCGGTGGTAAGATTTGATGAGTTTAAATTTTGAGATTTGTGTTTATTCATTATACAGATCTCGAAATTTAAATAAATGTAATAGTGATGAATGGAGTGGTGAGTATCATTATCAATTGAAGGTGGTGAGCAAAAATATTCCTTCTAATTAGTGCTATGAAACTTTCACGTCTATCAATCTAACTGACAACAGACTGTGATGGAGAGAGAATTTTTAGTGTGTCCGGAACACGAGGCTGTATAATATTACATGTCATTATACAATTGGAGGAACTCTTGAAAAGAACAACTACCTCCAACTGTATAATAATATTGGTGTTTCATGTTCCAATCGCACTGAGAAACCTATCGTGTGTGGAGGGTACCTAATCCCGATGTGAATAGGCATGATTTACGTGCAAGACGAAATTCCTCTTACCCATTTGGGGTAAAATATTCAGTTATTTTGGGATATGCCTTTCCGGAGTCAGTTTCAAATAGGCCATGTAGTATAATCAAATCAACATTCTTGTAGATCTACATCCCTCTTGTTAGTTTTTATGATTGGTAGGACTTCAGTGTCTAGCAAGAAAAAGCATTTCAATATCTATAGATGACCTAGATTGTGACTTCAAATCTCCATATTTAAAAGTATATAATTAATACTTAATTATACCTTAAGTTAATTTATCAAAAGTAGTAGTTGTGCGCATGGAATTGAACCCCCTGCAAATTGAATTGCTTTAACTAGTATATATTAATATATTAAACAAAAATTATCATGGGGGACCAGGTTAATAATCTATACTTGGTTTAACTTTCACGGGTGCACTAAAACAGATAACACCATGAGACCTAAATAATCGATCTTATTCACGAAAAGAACGTTATCGAGCTGTATGAGGTAACACACAAAAATCACTTTAAAAGTCTATCTTTTTCCAAGCGTTTTATACATGCATTTTATTGTCAATCTCATGTCTAAACCCATGAAGAAAAACTCAAGCAGAATATTCTTGATCGCATCATTTGTAAGACATTTTTTACAAAAGTATAAAACTTATATATTTTAATATCATCTGATTTACCAGTACTCCTTTGCTTGGTCGTTACTCTCTTTTCAAATAACCTGCCAAAAAATATATATCTCTCATTCCCTACTACTATTGTACACCCAAATTAAGTCAATATATACCCCATAAATAGAACACAGACTACTATTTTAATCCTTGTAATTTAAGCGTATATAGCTAGTTTCGGTTATCGCGATATAACGCTAGTATTTTAAAGGCAACATTTAACTTCATCAAACTTTTTAATTTCGCCAAAATTATAGACAGTAATGCATAAAACTCTGCAGAACTTGGTGTGTGTTTCAACTATTTTTAGAGCAAAAGCATAGCTGTATGTATTGTACTCTCCTCTTACTAAACCAGCAATTAAGACGGTTGGCAATTGCTTTCTGTATGACTTGATTTTTGAAGAACCTATAAGTCCAGTGCAGAACATATATATATAGTTCTTAGTGAATTGTGATTCTAATTCCCAGTTTAGTAGCACAATTGGATCAAGTACCGATGCCTAAATCACTATTCCTCCAATTTCTTGATAGCTGGTTGTCACAGCACTGCAGCTGTCTAGAAAGCAAACATGTCTTCTTTCTATCATTAAGTTCAAGAGATCTCATTCGTATGATTAAAAAAAATGTGATGGATATACCAATATACAATTGTATTTACATTTTCTTTTGTTCCAAATGAGGGGGATTTTTAGCCTACTAACCTTCCTTTGACCATCATAATCGACCATCATAATCGAACTCAGGACATACTGTTTTGACATATATCATATTCACGCACTGAATAAGACTCATGCAACATTTTTTGTAGGACATATATCATATATCCTTATCATAATCCACATCCGATCGATGAAGGAATTTAATTTATCTATCCATGGATGCCTGCTGCCTGCCTTTCCTTCAATTTCAAAAGCTTTGACACTTAACAGTACTAGTTTTCCTTTTTTCTGGTGGCCCTGATTCCAAGTTGGATCCTCGTCACCTTTGGCCCCCACATTTCCATGGTTATCACATGCTAGGCAGATGAGTTTCGATCGATGGATTCTTCGAAGACCAAGGACTGGATACCGAATAGGTTGTCCGATTAGACATTGCTGAGGGCAATGGGGAATCCATCTTCCACCCATTTTATTTGAGGAGAGAAAGTCTTGATCTTTATGGACCTCTCAACAAGCAAAACCATCCATATAAGTATTAGGATTTATACAAATTCGGTATATATTACAATGTACGACATACATTTCTTATCCAACAGTGATTATCATTCT